GGCTGTTCATCTCACTGGTCATGAACCTGACCAAGACAATACCTTCTCCACTGGGCTTCTGCCTCCCTCGCTGAAAGCCTTCCATCATATCCTCACCAGAGTTTTTCTGCCTCGTCCAAACTTTCTTGATCGTGTTCTTCCTCTGGATCTATGGATCTTGGCTCATGCTGTTGCTGCTGTTCCGCTGGACTTCTCTCATTTGTTTTTTGGTGCTCTTCTCCCATTCATAGATCACAACTTTCATGCCCCTCTTCCCTTTGGCCCTGTGATAACCCGCCTTATGCTGGCCCTGCCTTTAAATCTTTCGGGCTATCGCACGGAATCTCCTTCACTTTGGCTCACTGCAAATGACGTCTTGGAGGAAATTGGGATTGCGATTGAGGGGGAGAGTCCCTTCATCCACTGGCTCAGCAGTGATTCTGAGGAAGAAAAAGAGGTTGAAGAAGCTCCTGAAGGAGAAGCCCCTGCAGCTCCTGCTTTCTTGCCATCCTTTGCAGCTGCTCTCAAAGATCTCTATGGATCTGATTCTGAATCAGACTCTCCTGTTGCTGCCGAGACAGATGCTGCCTCTTCTAGTGGCAGCTCGGACCCTTGAATCTCTGTTATCTCTGTTGTCTTGTTTTGAGGGGGGTTCTGAACTCAGGGGGAGTGCTTGCTGTGTTGTCTTGATGTGAGAGTGTGTTTTGTTTTGTTATGAACTCAGGGGGAGTACTTTGCTGTTGTCCTATCTGGTGTTATTTGCTCTGCTCAGTGAATTTGAAATTTCTTGTTCAAGAAGGTTTCTTGTTTTTTTATCCCTATGATTGTGATCTCTATTTACTGCAGCGGGTGTGGATAGGTTTTCGGGTCTTATGCAGGGAGGTGTCAATCGGCAATCTCCATCTTAGGGGAAGATTGTTGAAATTGGCAAGTTTGGAGATTGCCTCTTTTATCTCAAGCAATATCAAAGGGAACAGCTGGCTGATTTGAGGCCTTACTTTATATGAATCCTAACGGCTAGTTGCTCTGTCTATATATATCTGTTGGCATCTCTTTCGAAGGTACTTTTGTTGAAGCTTGGTGCGGTAGAGGGCTTTAAGCTGGATTCACAAAAGGGCTTGATACACACAGAGGTAGAGGTTCTGAGTGTGTTGAGGCAGATCAGATCAAGGCTGATCTGGGCTATCGTTTCATCTTCTTTCTGTCTTCTTTGCTGTATTATTTTGTTTTTCTTTGTCATTCAAAACCATAAGTAATAAAGGTCTCCCAGACCATATTCTGGGACGTGGAAGTAAACCATTGCACTTGGGCGAACCACGTTAAAAAGATTGTGTGTCGTTTACTTTTCTGCACTCCTTCTGTACTTTGATTCTCTGAAGTAGAATCCCAGAAACCTACTCTGTTCTTCGTTCTGCAGTCTCTGTTCTCGACTTGTTGAAGCAATTCCCTCTGGAATTGATCTCTCACCGAGACTGGGCTTTTTGCCTGTCGTTTTGGGTCTCGGCTTTAACAAGTAATAATAGAGCTGTGGGCTTAATTTACCTGAGCCCATATTCTTATAAGTGACTGAACGAAGTGTTCCAAACACTCTCTTCCTTCAGTCTTTCACTCGCCCCTTTCGTTTCCTTTCGATTCTCTGAATCCCAAAATCCTCTCACAAACCCTAATTTTTCTTCTCGCGATATCGATTACAATTTCAGTCCTACTAAACAAACGTGATTTTAATCACTCGTTGTCTCTCCGTAACACGAATGAGTCATCAATTATATACTAAATCGATATTTTTCAAAAATATCTATTTATTTTCTTTTGAATCGGTGTTTTATATAGTGTACGTGCTGATTTCAACATTGTGTCGGAAAATATTTAGTTGCCTCTACGTGGTTTTTAAATGCACCGACATCATCCATAGATCATTCAAACGGAATCTGAAGCTTAACAATAACTTGACTTCAAATATTACTATTTTTTCTGTCAAATCGAATTAGCCAGAACAATGATCTTGCCACCATTTTTTTACCTATATATAGTAAAACATTGATAAACACTCAAAGAGGACCATAGATTTGGGATTCCATTCCTCTCGAGGAGAAGAGAGGCTAATGAATGCAAAAGTACCCAATTCCTGAAAATTTCTTCCAGTCTCCATTATATTTTCAACTACTCCTCTGACCACCTATAGCTGTACTGGAATTTAATTTCATGGGAACTTTTAATATTTTTTCAGGCTGATTAATGCTTTTGCGACCAACTAACTCCCATCCACTCCAAAGGCCACGACTTTGTTTTTACTCTCTCATTCAATGCACTTATTTTCTCGGCCTTCAATAATAACTGGAAACTTACAATAACAAAGTCTTGTACTCTTAGTACTAACACTCGTGGTTTCTCTCTTCTAATCCCGCTATGGTGTTAGGTTGGTTTGCCGTAAACGCATACTTATGTTGAGAATTCGACATCGCGCACAACTATCAAATGTAGATGAAATGACTTACTTGAAATGAGTAGGAGGATGATCACATGTGTGGTAGTCTTTAATTTTGTCGTTTCCAAAACTAATCCAAATTTGATTTCGACCGTAAATATCAAAACGAACGATAAATATTGCTTGATTGTCACAATGACAAACCTTCTTGCTGGCTGGCATGGTACCCTATTCCCGGTAAGTAGTGTGTGGGAGGAATTCCAGCTTTCAAATTTTAATTAATGTCATCAACGGGAAATTAATTAAATATGAAGCAGAGCAGGAAAAGAAGCAAACCATTAATTAAAAGCTTAGTTATTAGGTCTAGGTGGCTTTCACATCACAGCAGACGGCTTTTATGTTTGTATTTTAGGGTTCATTTAGTGACAGGAAAAAGTAGTTTGTACTCGGATAGTGAGTGATTTATTAGTAATTTGTTGACTAAGTTATACAGTAGAGACCACGATGCCGTATTAATTATAAAAGGTGGCGAAAATCGGTGCCGTACTAGCATGTTGGTTAGAGGTTTGCAAGCATGCATGTTCCTTTCCAATAATCGGATCGATCTTGAATGAGACAGTGAAAAAAAAAAAAATTGAACGAGGATCTGGGTCGAATCGAAAGTGCGTATTTGAGTCGGCTATATTTAGTGGAATTAAAAGTTGTTCGACTAATATAATCTAATTTGATGAAAAGTTTATTCAATTCGACTCAATTGAGGAAACAGATTAAATTGGTCATGCTCATAATAAATCAAATTGTTGAACATTCTAATATTGATCAGCTCGTTCTCGTAGTGCACCTCTTTTTTAGTACGTAAAAAATATGTTAGTAACATCTGTTTGAATGTTCTTTCTCTATTACCATATGAGGTATATTGTTCCCGCGACCGACAATGGTAACCAAACCGTTCATTCGATGGAAGTGAAAATGAGTAAAAAAACATGAACATATGGAGATATATTTGACAATTAATCATCGTTAAGCATCAACCAAAGGATATGTCCATTTACAGAACACATCCTAACACAAGTAATGTCTCCCTTGGGCATTTATCATTGCACAAAAAGTGTAGCAATGACAACTTATGCAATTCCAGTTTTAGAAAGTGAACCAAAACAGTCGATTTTATCACTTGATCATGTATTTCTCCAACCTCACTAGGGGACCCAAAACCCACATTTGTGCCTACTCTTTCCTAAGGTGTGACATTGTGATGAGTTTGAGTAGGAAGAACAATACCCATTGCAAGAAGGCTAGATTACTCTTTCTTATAACTTGTAACTTGAGATATGAGAAATACTCGACTAATTTTTTTTCCTTTCCATTTTGAGAAGTGTCATAATCAATATGCAAATGCTGATCTTGTATCAAATAGGAATGAAGTCTCAATGACCATTCTGTGGCAAGAAAAGGGAAAAATAAAGACATATTACGCATACTTGTCTAGCATTCTAACAAGAGTGGAGTGCTAAACAATAGAGAAGCGTGTGTCATGGTAGTTAAATGCATAAACAAGATATTGTATAGTATAATTTTTTTTATATATATAAACGAACGACATTCAAATAAATTAAGAGAGTATTTCAAGTAAAATTGACTAATAATTCAATAGTGTTCTAAATTTTACGCTTAGGCATGCACAGGGGCTGTGCAAAGCTAAAAGGCCTTGTCTGGCGGTTCCGTTGCAAGTTGGGTATCAAAAACATGTCGACGGAGCGAGGCGATACCTAAGCATAATTAAATGAACCTAGACAATCAATATCAAAGGAGTAAACTAACATCATCTGCAAATTCAATATTCTATCTCAACCTTTTCAATAGCTCAAGAACTTTGTGAGCTATTCAAATACGATTCTACAAGCTATAGTGAGTTATTTTACTTGTTGTTAAATGTTATTTAAATTATTAATTATTTGATATGAAGTGGGAAACTATTGTAAATTGTTATTTCATGCATTATGTAGTACTTATTGTTATTTTTTTGACAGTAACTTATTGTTATTTTTGCTTCGAGTGTCTAGACATGTTTAGACGATTCCCGGACGAGATAGGCCCAAATTGTACTCATTAACTAACTATGTACTAACTTGTCCATCAGAGTAACCACAAACGCACACATAATGACATAATCCCCCAAGCATTCATACTCCTCCGTATTTTTTTTGTGAAAGGTACAGTTAAAGTCAATAAACATCATCCATTCCCCTTCCTCCCAGAAACCAAAAAAAAGGTATCATCCAATTCCATTATCTCCACCTGTATTTTGCTACCGAGATGTGAAATAGTAATGTCACACTCAGCCTGAAGAACACGTACAGCATTAAATTCCTCCATCTAATTTCACAATTCCCGATCCCCACCACTATAATGTAAAAGGAAGAGTGAAAAAAAAAAACCCAACTACTCTCGTGTTCTTGAGACAGTTCTCATTTATAGCTTCGCGTTAATAGCCATGGTGTGTGGTGGCCGCTTTCCCTTCTCCATTTCTGTATATAAAAAAACTTCCCCTTTACACACATTTGTCTCAATTCCCTTCCTTCCCACTTCATCGAAAATGGAGCTCATCGACCTCTTCCTAGCCTTCGCCTCCCTCCTCTTCCTCGCCTTCTGGTGGCGCCGCTCCTTCTCCTCCTCTTCCTCCGCCGCCTCCAAGGCAATCCTCCCTCCCGGCCCGCCGGGCTGGCCGTTCGTCGGCAACCTCTTCCAAATCATCCTCCAGCGCCGCCACTTCATCTTCGCCATCCCGGACCTCCGCAAAAAGTACGGCCCAATGTTCACCATGAAAATGGGCCAGCGGACCCTCGTCATCGTCACGAGCCCAGATCTGATCCACGAGGCCCTGGTCCAAAAGGGCTCCTCCTTCGCCTCCCGCCCGCCCGACTCCCCGATCCGACTCGTCTTCAGCATCGGGAAGTGCGCCGTCAATTCCGCCGAGTACGGCCCGCTCTGGCGGGCCCTCCGCCGCAACTTCGTCTCCGAGCTCATCAGCCCGCTCCGCGTGAAGCAGTGCGGCTGGATCCGCGACTGGGCCCTGGAGCGCCACATGGGCCGGCTCGAGGCCGAGTCGAAGCGGGCCGGGTTCGTCGACGTCATGGACACGTGCCGGTTCACCGTCTGCCAGATCCTCGTCTGCATCTGCTTCGGCGCCAAGATCTCCGAGGAGTGGATCCGCGACATCGACAATGTCACCAAGGAAGTGATGCTCATCACGATGCCGCACCTCCCCGATTTCTTCCCAATTTTGACTCCATTGTTCGGCAAGCAGATGAGGAAGGCCAAACAGCTGAGAAAAGTCCAGGTTGAGTGTCTCCTCCCTCTAATTAACAATCGTCGGGCCTTCGTCCAGAAGGGCGAAGGCCCGAATTCCGAGATGGTCAGCCCCGTCGGGGCTGCCTACGTGGACTCCCTGTTCGGCCTCGACGCGCCGGGTCGAGGCCGATTGGGGGACCAGGAGCTCGTCACGCTCTGCACCGAGGTGTTCGTGGCCGGGATCGACACCAGCACCAGCGTGCTGCAGTGGGTGTTCTACGAGCTGGTGGTGAACCAGGGGATTCAGGAGAAGCTGTACGGCGAAATTGTGGAGCGCGTGGGGAAGGAGGGGAGAATTGGGGAGGAGCACGTCGAAACGATGCCGTATTTGAACGCGATTATCAAGGAGTCGTTGAGGGTCCACTCGCCCGCGCATTTCACGCTCTCCCACGCGGCGACGGAGGAGACGGAGCTCGGAGGGTACAGGATCCCGGCGGATGTGAACGTGGAGTTTTATATAGAGTGGATGACGGAGGATCCGAGTCTGTGGAAGGATCCGGAGGTTTTCCGACCCGAGAGGTTTTTGGATGGGGATGGGGTCGGGGTTGATATGACGGGGACGAAGGGAGCGGTGAAGATGCTGCCGTTCGGGGCGGGTCGGAGGACTTGCCCCGGTTTGTCTCTGGGGGTTTTGCATGTGAATTTGATGCTGGCGAGGATGGTCCAGAAGTTCAAGTGGGTGCCCGTGCCCGAGTACCCGCCCGACCCGACCGAGACGTTTGCTTTTACTGTTGTGATGAAGAATCCGCTCAAAGCGGCGATAGTGCCACGGTTGTGAATTTGCTGTTCCTTTTGTTGTAATGGAATGAAATAAACCATGTTGTAATATTGTGTTTGTTTTAGGTCATTAGATAAGGTATTATATGATGTTGTGTGTCTATGTTCTTACGTAATTGAGAGAAGGATTATTATTATTTATTACTATTATTATTACTAAAATGATTGAGGAGTTTATTAACTTTTTTATTTGGATTTGTTTTTGTTTAATTACTTAATTATATGAAAATATAAGAGGCTGGTGGTTGGATTGGCGACATTTCTTTGAAACGCTGTCCCAAGTGAATTCCATATTGAGGCGATAGAAGTAAATTTATGTTATGAGTGGTGTTTGTGAGCCATATCGTAGTAACAATCTGGTCAGAATGTCAATTAATAGCCGATTTTATGATATGTAATGACTGAATCTCGATTTCAACACAAATACATATCGTGATTTTTGCAAAGTGATATGACTCCCTCCAATCCCATTATTGACCTTAGCATGGGCCATGGAGGCTCAATTATCCCATAACAATTAACAACCTTTTACCCACTTTGGACCTTCTGGGCCTATTATAAGCCCATAACAGAGCCGTTCCCCGGGAACCGTCGACAAGGACAACCCGACCCGCCAAACTCGTCATCTTTTTCAAAACCCATCCGCGAGGTTTTCGCTAGCTCCACCTCACCGGCGAAAATGGCTTCCCTGTACTTATCTTCAATATTTGTCAGCAGTCACCGGAGCTTCATCAGTGCGCCGTCAAACCTCCGGCGCGCTTTTTCCTTCACTCGCGGTCGGTCTGTACTATACAAGCACCGCAACAAGCTCGCTCCAGCTCGTTCGAACTCGAACTCAAACCACAGACATTTCCGCTGCGCGTCATCCATAGCGGACGTCTCTCATTCTACCGCCATTACCGAATTCCCCGCGTATGTCTCGTTCTCTCAATTCAATTCTTAGATGAACAGTTTGACAGTGAGCGCCATTGTCAGACTACTGTATTTCACTACTGCTAATTTCTCTTTCCTGGATGTTTCACCAGTTATCCAGAATACGATCGGCTGTTACCATGTCCGGCTTACAATTTCCCTCCGAGAGTCGAGCACCTTGTAGTTTCAGAAGATGCTAAAGTTCTAGACTATATCTGCAAGGCCCTTGACCTTCCTCCACTGTAAGTTCTTGCTCTTAGGTCATGCAAAATTAGTGTTTTTCTTCAAATTGGTAGTGAGATCTTCAATTTTGTCGATATCAAATGCTTTGAAGGTTTGTTACAGATCTTATTCAATTTGGAGCTGTACATTATGCCCTCGTATGCCCACAGCCGCCACCAACTGCAACTCCGGAGCAGATTAGGGTGTTCAAAGAGGTCACAGCACCATCTGTTCTGAAGAAAAGAGGCTGCATTAAAGGGAAAACAGTACGAGAAGCGCAGAAGACTTTCAGGATAACTCGTCCGGATGAGTTCGTGGAGGCTGGAACGTATTTACGTATTCATGTGCATCCAAAGCGCTTCCCTAGGTGAGGAACAATTTTAATATGGCGAAGATGTGTTCGTGGTTTTATGAGGTCCATGATGGTTTTGACTCTTTGGTTTCTTGCAGGTGCTATGAAATTGATTGGAAATCGAGAATTATAGCTGTAGCTGACTCTTATGTTGTTTTGGATAAACCTGCTGGCACTTCGGTATGCAGTCTAACCATTTTGTTTCATTTGCATTCATTTCTGGAATGAGGGAATTCATATTTTGATGAGCAAATAGTTTGCGCAGATTCTTTGTTGATCGTAGATGTTTGATGCTGCATCATTTGATTCTTGTCGATAGCAGTTTAGGTGAAATCGTTTGCTCAAATTTAGCCCTTCGAAACAGATGATTGACAGAATCCATTCCACCTTATTTTGAACATGAATATCTGTATCTAAGGGCCTATTATATGAATTTGAAAGTAGGTATCCATGCATGCTACTTGCTCATCATTTTCAATTCCCATTCAGGTAGGGGGAACAACAGACAACATTGAAGAAAGCTGTGCAACATTTGCTACTCGTGCATTGGGTTTAACAGAACCATTGAAGACAACACATCAGATTGATAATTGCACTGAGGGCTGGTAACTATTCTCATATAATTTTCTGTTGCTGTTCTTGTAGTATGTGTATAGATGACTAACTGGTGACTTCTGCTTCACAGTGTTGTTTTAGCTATGACTAAGGAATACTGCTCAATATTTCATCAGAAAATCAGAGTAAGTTCCTTGACAAGTTGCCTTAGCTAGCAATTTGTACTTGGAATGAAATTAATCCATAAATATGGGTTTGATTTCACTCATTTCAGAAGTAATTTGATGTCTAATTTAATAGAAATACTCAGAGTGATTGATATAACTATTCCGTCTATTTCAGGAGAAACAGGTGAAGAAGCTTTATCTTGCTCTCGCTTCATCTCCTCTACCAACTGGTGTAATTACCCACTATATGCGTCCGATTAATAAGGCTCCACGTCTTGTTTCAGAAGGTAGTTAAGAATAGCAGGTGTTTCATAGCTCTTGAAGTTCATATGAATAGATATCAGATGCTGCATGTTGGCATAATTCGATATCTACTTTAGCAAAAAAATTATATCCACGTTCGGAGGTTGAACTTGACCTTGGAGTTCATAATGCTTGCAGAGCATGTAGATAGGTGGCAGTTGTGTCAACTTGAAGTTATGGAATGCAAAGAGGTCCCTTGGCCAAGCACTTTGATTGAAGAAAGGCATTGCGTTGAAGACTGTGGGTGGCCCACGAGAGACAAAGCATACGAATGCAGGATCAACCTTTTGACTGGCCGTACTCATCAGGTTAGCTCTGCATAAATTTCTATTCATTTTCTGTTTAGTATTTCAACATTACCCACAGATCACTCGATAAATTGTTCCCCCATATTGCTTCCTTACTGCTGGTACTAGAGGTCCCAAATTGGTTGGGTTACTGGGTTTGCTGGTTAGGTTATAATGGTATCATGGATTCATGCGTTGGGTTGTAATGGGTTTGTCGTTCTTTATTGTTGAGAATATATGATCTCTTGAAGTTTTGATGTGTGTAGTGTGTTTCAGTTATTTGTCAGGAGCAAGGACTGTTAGGTAAAGTTCTTCTGAAGACTTGCGTACTAAAGTATAATGGTTACATAGGTTGGTTTGTTAATAGCGAGAAGATGCTATGAGAATGTAGTTTTCCGCCACCAGAGCTCACTTGGCAGAACATAGTTGGATTTAATTTCTGGACAAGTTTGCTAAATTTATGGAAGTTGATGTACACTAGTGTAAGACCCAAAATGTTAGGTACTCACTGTTAATACTTGAACCAAATTTTGTTTGGTACTCTGGAACTTTTAGGCATAACAGTGCAAGCCTTGACCTTGGGTACTTGGTGATTTTGAAAGTTCTGGTCTATTAAATTGAACCCAATACATTTACCATCTCTACTTGTTGCACATGTGTGCAGATTCGAGCTCAGCTAGCTGCCTGTGGCGCTCCATTAGTTGGTGATGCGATGTACATGCCAGCTGCAGTTGCTGAGCTTGCCAGTCCGGGGCTAAACCCATTCGGAAAACACAGACGCCACTACACCAGCAACGACGAAGATGATTACCAAGTAGCCGTGGAAGAATGGATTGCACTTCACGGCAAAGAACCAACTTCCGCCATTGGTCTCCAGGCGTGTCAAATCTCGTGGGACGAAGGTGAATATAGCTATGAGGCCGGATCCCCCTGGTGGAGGTGATGAGGGAAAACAGCAGCTTGAATCCAAATTCACCAACCAAGCGAAATGGACTGTGGAGAGTAGGCCTTTTCGTAAAGGGACAAATTGCTGGCCGCAGGAATCTTGGAGTCCAAGAAATGGTTAGATGCCCCTCAAATCTCATATCATTATCATAGCTTACAATGAATCAATATATAATTACATTGTTTACTGTCTTTCTTTCTGTAGTGATAATTACATGTTACTATTAGTGTAATATATTCTTTCTTCTTCAATAAGTAGGTGTAGTGATAATGATGGTCGTAGCGACAGACTTGTAACTTACGCCGAGTTCGAACTTTAGGGTCAATAACAACACTTATGATATCAATATTTTCTCCCATTTCGTTGATTATTGTTTGTCGCAGTCAATGTATTTGCTTGCATTCAACAATGAACCAATCAATCAATTTCATATCATTAACATATTGACAATGAATCAATTGCACCTCGTTTTCTATCTTTCTCTATTGATAATTACAAGTTTGGCTTAGTGATAACGAACAATGACAAACTTCTAAGCGACCCTAACAAAAAAAACAAAGCTATTTCCTTCTGCCATATGGGTTGATCCCCATTCACTCACATCATGGCTCTGGGTGTCTTGCCATACTTATCGATGAATCCTTTGAACCATTTCGCCGATAGCTTCGGAGTTCTCTCCATAGTGTTGTAATCGACGTGGCAGATCCCGAACCTCTGGGTATAACCGTTGGTCCACTCGAAGTTGTCGAGCAACGACCAAGCATAGTACCCTCTCACGTCTGCGCCTTTCCTTATTGCAGCCATGAGTGATTCCAAATACCCAGACATGTACTCTACTCTTCTCACGTCGTTGAGGAAATCTCCAGTAGTGAGCATTGGACTGTTCATCTCACCATACCCTGTTTTTATTTTGTTGCCACAGATTGTCAAAAAAAGAGTAGACCCAAATCAGTTCTATGACCAAAACGATTAACCCTAGATGAGATGATTTAATCAGACTTCAATGACAATTGTTCTTACCATTTTCTGAGATAATCATAGGCACATTGTTGTATCTATCTTTTAAGTATGTCACCATTTTCTCCATTCCTTGTGGGTAAATGTATTGCCAACCCAAATCACCCTGCAAATCCAACAAGCGAAAGAAACTGCCATGTTAGTACGAAAAATCGTATCGAGGAATTTCAGATACGTGGTCGAACCAGTACGATCGATGTAACTTGGAGCAGAAGAAAAAAAACTTACTCGTTTCCCCATTGGGAATCCATCCCTCTCCTGGATTGTCTGGAACGAACCTTCACTCCTGGTAGTTCCAAGCCCAGGCTCACAAGCAGAGTAGATACAATCCTTGATGTAGTAGCTCGTGTAATGGTTGATCCCCAAGAAATCCAGCCCTTGCTTAAGCTTCTCCATATCCTTACTCGAGAACTCGGGCAGGGTCGACCCGAGAACCCGGCTCATCTCTTCCGGGTACCGACCAAGCACGATCGGGTCGAAGAACCAGTTCGCGAAGAAAGCATTGGCCCGGTCCGTGGCCAACCCATCGGCTTCTGATTCGCTGAACGGTTCGAACCAAGCGCAGTGGAGTACAATTCCGATCATGCCCTTCTGGTCCTTTTGGTATTTGGTGCGGTAGACGTCGACGGCGGCTGCATGAGAGAGGATTATGTTGTGGGCGGCTATATACGGCTCCGTTTCGGAGTCCCCGGCTGTGCAATTACCGAAGTGCCCCGAGCAGCGGGATGGCGGGAAAGTGCCATCCCGGTAACCGAAGGTGACTTGGAAGTTTGGTTCGTTGAAAGTCGACCAATACTTCACTCTGTCGCCAAAGTACTTGAAACAGATGTCAGCGTAGTACCCAAAATCCTCCCTGGAAAAGAAAACGTAAGCCTCATTCAATAATTGAAACATTCTAATGTTATATGTATAATAGACCATTAAATATCTCTTAATTTCAACGATATTTAATAAATGAAGTTATTGGGATGAATTGATTTTATAAGATATTATACGATATTGATTGACTTACTGAACTTCCGAGCTTAGCCAACTCCCATATCGGTCTTCCAATTCTTGCGGCATATCAAAATGGCAGAGCGTCACAAATGGTTGGACTCCTTTAAGCACGAGAGCGTCGATAAGCTCGTTGTAGTATGCGATTCCGGCTTGATTTATCTCTCCAAATCTTCCTTCTGCATGATTTTCGCAATGAATCAGTTTAACCCAAGGTTGTCAACCCGCGGGTCGACCCAATTTAACCCTGACCCGATGAGAAAAACGGGCCGCACGGACCCGCCGGGCCAACCGTTATAAGGTACCGGGTTGGCGGTCAAATTGTGTCATTTTTTTCTTTAGTTTGTGAAATGCATCTATTTTCCAAAAAAAAAATTCGCCTAACTGAATCTTTGGAATCCTAAGTTATACATTTGAATATTTATGTTATATAAGTGTGTGTGAATTTTCACTATATGTTGGATCTAAGTACGATATGTTATTTTGGTGTAATATTATATGTTATAACTCATATGTTAGATAAGATTTGATATAATTTATGAGGATAAGTACAATATAATGACTCTTTCCATATTTCCGGGCCAAACCGGGCTAAAATGGTTGACCCATTAACCCGTGACCCACTAGCTCGACCGGGTCCGGGTCAACCCACGGGTTGACAACCTCGGTTTAACCCTATCATTATAAGGATCGTTCGTTTATCGAGAATCGGTTCATTCTAATTATTCGGGTAATTACGAGAGAGACGAAATCGTGAAAAATGAATCTCATTTCATTTCCAAAACACTTACTAGGTAGTATGCGTGCCCAAGAAATGGAGAACCGGTAGCTGTTGACTCCAAGTGATTTCATTAGCTTAATGTCTTCCTGTTCACATAATCACCAAAAGGAAATTCCTTTCAATCTAACTATATATACTTTGTGGAACCAAATAATTGGTTTGAAAAATGATATAGTATGCCACCAAATTAGGGATAAGATTGGATCATTTTATTGTTTTCTTTTTTTCTACTTATTGCCTGTAGAATTAGAATGGATAATGACCAATCATCACAAACATCCCTACCAAACAGAAAGAAGATAATACATAGGCCATAGCTACAAAGAATCTCAATTCTCAACCACTCACAATTGGCTAGAAATAGGACATATTGACATTATTGGGGAAAAATAGTAGGTGTAAGACTTGTCATCAAGGACCTCCACTCCTCATGTCCCACTTGTTAATATCTTCCAACAAAAAAAAAAAAAAAATTACAAACATAATATAAATTGAAAAAAGCGCAAATAAATAATTCGTTATCTGTCTAGTTTATTTTTAAAATAAATCAGATTGTTAACAACTATACTTTCTAATAAAATTAAATTTTGTAGATATCAATTGTATTTTGTACATTAATCGATTGTTAACACCTGAAGTCATCACAATCATGTCTAAATTTTTTATCGTCGTCACTCTGTCAGTTCAAATAGAATGAAAAACTCAATATGTTATGTTGTAATATATGCATTAGTCTTCTGAAGTGGACACCAAAGTAAAAAACAAATAATAATAATGGAGGCAAGTTGGCAGTATTGATATAGTACCTGATAGAGGTGATAAGAATCGACGGCAACATCTCCATTGCTTCCATCGACGATCTTGCCTGCAGAAAACCAAAAACGAATCAGAAAAACAAACAAAAAACAGTAAAGAAAATCCGTCCATGGCGGCTCTTTCATTGCCTGAAATTAACCAGTTGGAAGGCCACGATCATCAGTCAACAATAGAGTTCTCTTTTTTTCTCATATATACCTGGGGTATGGCTGTGAACGTCCCAATTGCTGATTCCTTTCCCATCACTCAAATACGCTCCTTCAAACTGCAAAAAAAAAAAAAAAAAAAAGGTTGATTTCAACACAACATCGTCTCGTTTCGTTCCTCGCGAATTTCGAACTTTAGAGCCAACAAACATGTTATATACCGTTCGAGAAAAGGGATGAAAAAACAAGCTATACATACCTGGTAGGAAGAGGCTGCAGTTCCAAACAAGAAGTCGTCGCGAAATGGAGAATCGTTCTCGAAGTTGCTACGAAGGAAGGACTTCGCGGATTTCAGGCTGAAGGAGGTCGACGAACAAGGAAACAGGCCGACGACGACGGCCATCATCATGACTAGGAGAAGGAAAGGTGACGAAGAAGAAGGAGAAGCCGAGGAACGAGCTCCTCCCATTGTTGCTCGATGATTCGATCACTGTTGTCGACGATGGATGTCCTGATTTACGATACAAAAAAAGAAGAAGTTTGGTTTCCCTCCTTTTCTGAGTACGATTTTGCCTGTTGGTTCTCTCGTCGAAGAACTAACTTGGGTTTTTTCAATGGGTGCTTTTGTTGTTGTGTTGGTTGGGTCATGTATATATATGGGGCAAGGAGGAAACGTGTGTGGTTGGTAATTAATTTACCAACGCCGCCTAATCCCGAAATTGACTTATAAAACGAAGCTGCCTAAGCTAGTGTTCTGAACTAAATTGGCCGATGATTTGTTTATTTGATAATAAGGCTCTTGAACGAGTCAAGCCTGCAGATTCCAAAAATTAAATTGTGTAGTTTAGATAGAGTTTGAAAAGTAGTTCCACCAAACAGTGTGTTAGGAGGACGTACGTTGAACTTAGAAATTAGAGCTATCTTATATTTTTTTTTTCCAGATTAGAAAAAACCAATCATTACAGCTGTTTATGTGAACTATAAATTGTTCGTTGGAGGGGAAGTTTCGTGAATAATCGGCAAATTCATGTGAAGTTCTGGTACATATGATTAAGGTTAAGGTTCGAACATAGTATGTGAGGTATTTATTCATGTTTAAATCACTGAGTACAAGATCTCTATTATTAGATCTTCGCACGTATAGGCAGAATCAAACTAATTTGGGTGTGTCACGGTACATACATAGTTTTGGGGAAAAATATAACTAATCCTCGTGTTATACGTATATACATCATATTGAATGCTACACTTCTATATGTGTTAACACAACATCAGTTCTAAACAACAAGCTAAATTCTCACATTTTGCATCAAATCCACACAACAACACAACTCAACATCGCGACTCTCCCTAGTCCTACTCCTCCGCCAACATGCCAATTGAGAAGTGGACCATATGAATCTATTTTATACTTCTTTCAGAATATGATAACATATCGTAGTTGTTATGACAATGATAATTGTATTAAATATTTATTTATTTTTCAATGAATGAACTATTTGGGTATTATTATTTTTTAATTGTATGAATTAAACATTTATTATATTTACATTCTGAAAAAAAAGCCCTAATTCCAACTCCTAGGTCCGCCACAGTCTCCATGGAAAGTAAACTATTGAGGTGAGTTGGATTTTGTACGTGATATGATCTAAAGAGTCTTTACTAACCGAAAGCTGTCATAGTTAGGTTGAAAAAAATAGACTAGACCGTTCGAAAAGTCATGGACCAAACTGGACTGCACAGTTTGGTCAGGACCGTAAATCGTCAAGGATGTATTCATCTCTTGGTCCGGTCTGGTCCTGACTAAACATGGACACAACCCCCTTTTCAGTTCGTGTTAGCACTTCACTCGACCACTCTCCTAATTGCTCAACAAACCCAAGTCTCAAACCTAATTTTGCGGATCTAATCCTGTATTTCGTTATCCTATTGAAGCGATTTTTTATTACACTTGATTTTATGGTAATTAACATGGTGGCTTGTAGCAAAGTGCAAACGTCTAGTACAAATAGTATTAGGACCATTCTTCTGAAGGTAGAGGAAATTTGAGGATCGAATCAAAACAATAATTGATCCCATTTGGTTCAATTAACTAACGGTATCGTCATATAACGAGTGCGGAGATAGCCGCGCCAAGTTTCATCGTTGGTGGACTGGGCCTGGAGTTAAATAGATTGGGCCTGATGAATGTGTGGGTCACGAGTTAATTATCAGTTGTGAAAAAGGAAAAAGCCCAATTGTATATTACTTGCACAAGCCCAACTTTTTTTCTTGCACTTTACACGTTACACGCGTCAAAGTAGTCAAAGTTAACCGCGTAAAAGTTCAACAAAATTTGCGGGAACCGACTCCGGCGTATTTTTCAGGCTAACCGACTCTTTTCAACGGTAATAATTTATCAACCGACTCGCCGTGATTGATCCCTCTATAAATAGGTTTCCCGGCCTTTTTTTCACTCCGACAGAGACGAGAAGCGTCTGAGCCTAGGGTTTCACCGTTCCAGTAGAGTTAGGGTTCCGGTTGCCGTGATGTCGCTATCTGTCTTTTGTTGGGCTTTATAAGGGTTCGGTGAAGGATGGCGCTTCTCTCTCAGCGACTCAGTCCGTTCTCCGGTGTAATGGATGTCGTCGGCGAACGATCCATGATGGTTTCCTAGTTCTGCGTGGTTAACCGGTACAAGTTTTATGATCTTCTCCTTGTCGCCACCCCTTCTTTTCAATTTTGCTTCGCATCTTGTGGGTTGAATTTCTACACGTTTCCTTCTTTGTCGAAGGACTAGTTCTCTTATTTGTCCCGTTATCTGTGTCGATCTTTGATGAAATGGGCTTAGTGGGTTGAATAGGGGTATCTTAATCCCTCTCATTTTGTTGCTTCATGAGGGTAAATTTGGACGGTTCTCTGATAACAATGTTTTGGCTGCTGTGTTCAGAATCGCAAGTTGGTTTGTTGAGAGCAATGCCAATTTTAGTGTGTCCTAGGACTGAATAGTGATTCTGTGTTGCTAGTTTGCTGATGTCTCATAAGCCATACTTCTATTTGCCACATATGCTCTTTATAGTTTATTAGTTGATGGAAATTAAATTAAGCAAATCCCTGAAAGGGATTTCTCGAAGAGAACCATGGCTAGTGGTTGCTCTTATGTATGCATTAACCATCTGAGTTACAATTGTCTAACTGAGCATTAGTGGGAGTTTTGTTTGCCGCAATTCACTACTTCAGTAGTGTGAAGTGGAACATTACAAGTCCTCGTTTCCCTTCTGTAAACTTTATTTTGGGAGATCTTTTATGTTGCAGCCTGTACGTTTGGGGGATTAAATTTGAAGGAAACATGTTGCCTATGAAACATTTGTTGGTTGTGTGTTAGCAATTAGTGCTTAATGAAGTCCTTATAATCCTGCTAATTTGACAGAGTTAATAGCAAGGCATTGTTAATTGGTTGTCGGCAGACAAAACATACTACGAAGTAATCTGAGCTTGCATTAATATGAGCCCAGTTCATTTTTAAGGTCCTAGAAGGGAGTTATGCTGTCATAATTGCCCTTCTGCCTTAGGTAAAGAGTGGTCGTGGTGGCTCTCTGAACTGATAATTACAAAGTCCTATATGAGAATAGTGGTTAGTCATTGTTGCCGTTATGCTTTGTGTAAAAGTTGGTTGTGTTGATTCTTGAACTGAAATTTCAAGGTCCTAGAAGGGAATCATGCATAGTCATGGTTGCCCTTCTGCCTTAAGTGAAGTTTGCTTGTGGCGATTCTCAAAGTAAATTACAATGTCCTAGAAGGGAATCATGCTTAATCATGGTTGCCCCTCTGCATTGTGTGAAAATGGATTGTGGCGGTTCCCTGAATTGAAAATTACAAGGTCCTAGATGGGAATTATGTTGTAATAATTGCCCTTCTGCCTTAAATAAAGACTGGCTGTGGCGGTTCTCCGAAGTGAAAATTGCAAGGTCCTAGAAGGGAATTATGCACAGTCATGGTTGCCCTTCTGCCTTGAGTGAAAACTGCTTGTGGTGGTTGTCCTAGTGAATTACAATGCCGTAGAAGGGAATTGTTCTTCATGGTTGCCATTCTGCATTGAGTAAAGATTGTTTGTGGTGGTTCTCTGCATTGAAAATTACCAGGTTCTAGACTGGAACTATGTCATAGATTCCCTTCTGTCTCGAGTAATGATGGATTGTCGCAATTCCCCAAACTGAAATAGTAAGGTCCTAGATGGGAATTATGCATAGTCATGGTTGTCTCTCTGCCGTGAGTAAAAATTGGTTATGGTGGTTCTTGAAGTGTAACTTGAATCAAAAGAGTTCATAGAAATGAACATAGCCAAGCTATTGGTTGCTGTTTGCCTTAAATAATAATTTTGGTTGTGGATATTTTCTGAAAGAAAATCACCAAATCCTAGATTGATTCTTTCACTGTCATGACTGCCTTTTCTTAAGATTCTGGTGTGGTTAATTCTCTGGGTTTAAAAAACTAAAGTTCTTACAAGGGAATCTTGGTCCTAGCTGTCGCTTTATAAAAATATAGTTGTCATGCAATCTCTCCGAGGTGCCCTTTTGTATGTCCGATAATTCAAAGTTCTATAGATTTTGTAAGCCGAACTTGTGAGTTCGGCTTCGATGAAATGGGATTTAGTGGGTTGAAAAAGGTTCACCATCTCTCCCAGTTTGTTGCTTCATGAGGGTAACTTTTGATGGTGATTTGATACAAATTTTATGCTGCTTTGTTCCAGAATCGCAAGTTGGTTTGTTGTGTATGAGCATTGCTAATTCAAGTGTCATGATGGTTTCTGACTGTTTGGTCTCTTGCAGGTGCTATGAAATTGACTGGAGTTCGAGAGCTATAGTTATAGCTGACTCTTATGTTGTTTTGGATAAACCTGTTGGCACGTCGGTATGCAGCCTAACCATTTTTTTCAATTGCATTCATTTTTGGATGGAGGAAATTCAGACGTTAATGAGCAAATAGTTTGCGTAGATTCTTCGTTGATCGTATATGTTTGATGCTCTGCTTCATTTGATTCTTGTTAATAGAAGGCGCTGTTAATTGGTTGTCGGCAGTTTCTAAACATATTACGAAGTTATGCGAGCTTGCATTAATATGAACCCATTTCATTTCCGAGGTCCTAGAAGGGAGTTTTGCTGTCATTATTGCTCTTCTGCCTTAGGTAAAGAGAGGTTGTGGAATGTGGTGGCTCTCTGAACTTATAATTACAAGGACTTAGATGAGAATAATGCTTAGTCATTGTTTTCCTTCTGATTTATCATTTGTGTAAAGATTGGTTGTGGTGATTCTTGAACTGAAATTTCAAGGTCCTAGAAAGGAATTATGCATAGTCATGGTTGCCTTTCTGCCTTGAGTGAATTGTGGCGATTCTCAAGTAAATTACGATGTCCTATAAGGGAATCATGCTTAATTATGGTAGCCCTTCTGCATTGAGTGAAGATTGGTTGTGTAGGTTCCTTGAACTGAAAATGACAAGGTCCTAGATGGGAATTATGCTGTAATAATTGCCCTTCTGCCTTAAGTAAGGACTGGCTATGACGGTTATCCGAACTGAAAATTACAAGGTCCTAAACGGTAATTATGCTTAGCATGGTTGCCCTTTTGCCTTGAGTAAAGAATGGTTGTGGCATTCGAACTGAAATTGCGAGGTCCTAGAAGGGAACTATGCATAGTCATGGT